GAGAGAGAGAGAGAGAGAGAGAGAGAGAGAGAGAGAGAGAGAGAGAGAATTCTCATTTGAAGTGGGAGGTACATTCACTTCCTGGTTTGAAAATTGCTAATCAAGGAGAGAATTAAACAGTATTCAAACTTTCTATAAGAAATGTATCTTAAGGTAACTAAATAGGTTCAAGTAATGAAAGTTGTACTGTAAAGAAGACTGTTAACTAAAAATGTAGAATGCAAGACAGAATCAGAAAAACTACATCCTGTAATTCCTAATAAAATTAGTGATTGCATTAAGTATGTTAAATTACTTTTAAGATATGTAAGTATGTGGGTGTTGGGACCTAGAAAGTCACATAAGACAAAAGTAATACTGCAGAGATTCCCCTCTGTAGGTGGAGACTGTAATATTCTGTCTCTTTAAGAAACAAACCGTGCCCACTCCCTTCCTGCTTGCAGCCTCAGACCCCCCCACTCTCTCTTTTCCTGTCCCCTCTCTCCCTCTCTCCCTTTTTGCTTCTCCCCCCCCACACCCTGCTCCCCTTTTTCCTTCCCCTCCATAACGTATCTAATAAATGTCTAACTTTACTCGGTATGGTGTGCCTGCTGGCCGCAATCACATGAAGACCTGCCGCGTGGTCTCGTGTGCCTGGCTGCTGTGGACACCCCAGCAGCTTGCAGCAAACCCATCTGCATGGTGTGCCTATCTGTCTGCCCCTTGTCCACCTGCCTCTACATGGCTAGACCTTTGGCCTGGGCCCTGCCCGGGATTGGCTGCTCTCGGGATCCCCTGCCCCCTGCCTGCCAGGCAGTTCACAAATCCATTACAGACTGCTTATTCATTTCCCAGCCTCTCAGACCCAAGTAACCACACAGAAACTTTATTAATTATAACACTGTTTGGCCAATGACTCTAGCGCATTCCTAGCTAGCATTTACATCTTAAATTAACCCATTTCTATCAATTTGTGTATTACCACGAGGCTGCGGCCTACTGGGGAGGTTTCTAAGGTTCCAGCGTGTCCTTCCCTTTTGGCAGCTTTATGACAGACATCTCCCTGACTCTGCCTACTCTATAACTCTGTTCAGATTTCCTGTCTGGCTTTACTCTGCTTAGCCATTGGCCAAAACAGCTTTATTCATTAATCAATAAAAGTAACACATATACAGAAGGACTTCCCACATCACCTTTCTTATGGCTATAGATGAAGATGGACTAATGGTTCAATGAAAAGCTCAGATTGGACCAACAAGCTCACTGGGTAAAGGCACTTGCCTTCAGGACTGACGACTTGAGTTTTATCCCTGGAATCACATGGTCAAAGGAGAGAACCGACCCCCAAAAGTTGTCTTCTGTCTGCCACATAATGTACTGTGCTGTTCATGTGTGTGCACATGTGCATGCATGTGCACCCACGTGCACACACAAATGTAATACATGTATTGTTTTTTAAAGCCAAAGCTGTCGATACCCAAAAGTAAATCATAACATAACATCCAATCAATGCTTATTTTCTCTGAGTTGAACAAAAACAACAGGAAGTATAACTTCTAGTACATTCTACCTTCTAGATCTAAGACATAACTGGAACTCCCGTCTTCTTTTACATCAGATCCAAATGAGATCAAGTAGAGCAGGATAGAAGCAGAAGCCAGCATCCAGAAGGGATAGCCAGCCAAGAAGGCTAGTGTGTTTCCAAGAAGGTGGGTTCTGAGCAAAACAAGGTCTGGAACCAGGCTGTGGTCTGAACAAAAGAACGTAAAAGACCATTTTGAGAACAGAAATTTGCATTTAGACTAAAATTAGACAGGTGGAGCTCTCTCTCTCTCTCTCTCTCTCTCTCTCTCTCTCTCTCTCTCTGTGTGTGTGTGTGTGTATGTGTGTAAGTTAGAGAAACTTGAGTGAAACAAGCGGGTAACAAAACCCTCACACTCCAGTGACACCTCACTCACCAGTGGTTAGGAGGAGGTGAGCCAAGGTGTTCATAGCAGCAATTTCTCCGTGGTAGCAATATGCCATATCCTTGTATTTCTCGTGCTTTTCTACAATCATGTATATTTTTTTAGCATGCACACATCATCTTTATTTATTTTTAATTAATATTTATTTATGTAATGTTTACGGATATTTTGTCTGCATGTATGTGTGTGGACCGCATGCCTGCTTGGTTCCCTCGAGAGCCCATGTCAGGTCCCCCGACTGGAGTTACAGACAGTTGTGAGCTGGCATGCGGCAAGGAGTGCAGCACCTGTCTAGGGCAAGACACCACACCTAAAATAGCAGCAAACCAGCCCACTCCTTCATTTCACCCATCAGACTGAAGAAGGAATGAGCTTCTTGAACAAGCCACCCCCAAATAAGAGTTTGATGGGCCATTTCCACCTCTAGATTTTAGGATGAACATACCCACTTGCTGATTTCCCACCTGTGAGCCCAGGGAGTTCTAGAAGTGTCTGAAGTTGTTCCCAGTTCAGGACCAAAACCTCTGAAAACGTCTCAAGTTCCTCATGCCCCAGTTTTCATTGCTTTGATTGTTGTCTGGGCCTCATGAAAATGGAAGAAGAAATAAAAAGTTCTCAAGAAGCTGCTTCTGGTTCTAAGTAACTTTGGTATAAAATTGGGTTACAGGGAAAAGATTATGCACCTTAATTTAAAATCAACTCAGAGGTAGAAAGAAGCTGAGCCAAATGAAACTCGAGGACTGTCCAAAGCTAAACCCTATTTCCTTTCGCAACTGCTAGTGCATGAGAGATAGATGTCAGGGTTCTGTTCTGTTTTGCGATGTGCTGCCTTGTGTTTTGAGACAGCACAGTGTCTCACTTTGTAGCCCCAAACGTGAGGTCCTTCTTTCTCAGTCTCCCAAGTACTAGGATGGCAGGCACTTGACACCAAAGTGCTAGCTGGTATGAAGATTCCATGTAGGGTTATCTTCTGCCTGCGGCTGAAGCTGAGCTTAAGGGTCTCGCTGTCACAGTGCATTTTCTGCATATCTAAAATCTTGATGCTTGGGGATAGATGCCTGAGGAGATTCACTTTCACAATATTCAAGCACTTGGGCTCCCCCTAGAGGAGCAGCATAAGAACTCCCCCCTCCCAAAGCTTCATTTGCAAATAAGAAAAATCTGATTTTACCTAGTTATAAAAACTTTAAAGTATAGCCGGGCGGTGGTGGCGCTCGCCGTTAACCCCAGTACTTGGGAGGGAGGCAGAGGCAGGCGGATCTCTGTGAGTTCAAGGCTGGCCTGGTCTACAGAGTAAGTACCAGGACAAGCTCCAAAGTTACGCAGAGAAACCTTGCCTCAGCAAACCAAACCAATAAATAAATAAATAAATAAATAAATAAATAAATAAATAAATAAATAAAAAATAAAGTATAACGGTACCACTTCAACATTTCTAGTCGGAAGCATCCCTTGGAGGTTTTTCTGCTCTACAGTACATATAACATGGTCACAGCCACCGTCTTTGCTACCATCCAAGTCTTTTCTGTATAGTAATGCAGGAACAATCATTTTTGTTTTCTGAACCATAGTGACCTAATAAGCACTCCTCCCAGTGTGGGACAGCGGGGTTGCCTCAATTCTTAAGGAAAACCATTCTTCTCCCTCTCTTGTTCCCTTTTATTTGTGTGTTAAGCAAATGCTGTGTCATCGAGCTGACACTTCGATGGGAGTTTGATACACTACATCAAACTGCCATTTGAGTTTCTGTTCATAGAATTAAATCTAAGCTGTGAAATTACCAACCACAGCATGTGACATCCTCTGGGATGACTTCTTGTGTCCATGGCGTGATCTTGGGGCTGTTCTTTGGAGATAAGGTCTCAATATGCAGCCCAAATTGACCTCAAACGGGAGACCCTCTTGCCTCTGTCTCCTAGTCCACATTGCTTCATCTGAAATGGGATTAAAAATAAGAATTTCAGCACATCAACATAGTGCTGGGTACTACTGTCTTGAAGATGCATTGATAATTTAGTGTGACAGTGTTGCTTTGAATTAATTTGACTTTGGGTGGGTAAACAGTCTCCTGAACTTATAGATTTTATTTCCTCTCTTTGGTAGTCTCCTGAAACCTGGTTCTTATTTTGTTCCTCGGGGTCTATGAGCTCAGGGATTAGATGTATAGAGGATTTTAATACAGACATGCCCATGAATTTAGGCCTCAAAGGGAAGGCTATGGCCAACAGAAATCAAACTGAGCCTATTTCCACACTCTGTCCACAGGGAAAATAAAGCTCAGTTGAACAGACAGAGAGGGTACAGCAAAGAAAATGAGAGCCCTGGCCATAGATGCTATAAGTATGTGCTTGTTTGGGTTCTCTGTGAGCTTGTAATCCCAACTCCACCTCACCCAGATGATTCAAAAACCTCATGCCTGGTTGAGTTTGAAACTGTGAAGAGGGATGCTTAAAAGAAATCCCACATGAGCTCAGAATTGAGAAAAATAGATAGTTATTTATTTAGGGGGGTAGACTCACAAATCAGAATCCTCTGGAATGGAGAACAGAAACCAAATCCCACAGCCAGAAAAGAGGCCGGATGCATGCTCTACATGGGTGTAAATAGCATAAAAGGCCACGCCCCAGTGGGCGGGTAACTACAGCTATAGGATTTCCTATAGCAGAATTGTTCAAGATCAGATCTAGTACACTAGTCTTAGTTTTCTATCACTGTGAAGAGACACCCTGGCAACGGCAGCTCTTAGAAAGGAAAGCACTTTCTTGGGGCTGGCTTATAGTTTCAGAGGTTTAGTCCATTATTATTATGGCAAGAAGCACAGTGGCGTGCAGACAGACTTGGTACTGAAGAGATAGCTGAGAGCCCTACATCAGGATGCCTCAGACAGCAGGAAGAGAGCGGAGACACTGGATCTGGCTTGAGCATCTGAGCCCTCAAAGCCCACTGCTAGGGACACACCTCTGAACAGTGTCACTGCCTGATGACCAAACATTCAAATCTCTGAGCCTCTGGGGGCTGTTCCCATTCAAACCACCACAACCAGGAATACAAATGTTGGTGGGAGGAAAGCTCCTCCAGAGAATGTCAGGAATACAAATCTCCATCAGATCAAGCAGCCCAGGAATTAACCCATGAACCAGACTTAGCAGGAAGAGACCTGCAGTGATGTTTGGAATCTCTCATTGTCTAGTTCACGTTTGATCACCAGTGTTATTCCTTTGCGGTCACTTTAAGGACTAACCACGCCCACCCCAGCCACTTCTGACCTCCCCCGTCACCATCTTTCTCTCTCTTGTGTTTGTCTCTCTATGTTTCTCTCTCTGTTTTTCTTATGTCTCTTCTTTAAGCAATAAATGTCTTTTAAGCAATAAAATGTTTTTCTCTTCTTTAAGCAATAAATGTCTTCCTCTTCTTTAAATAATACTATGTCCTGTGAGCCTTTTATCCACTGTAACTGCCTTTTATTCGCCGTAACTGCCCGCCTGACTCCCCCGGCCGCATGGCGCTGCCACCCTGGAGATCTTGCAGGGACCCACAGCCATCCTTGTCGGACTAGCAGCTGCTCTGCGAGCCGCCAGGGGCATCCCATCATCATATTTTTTTTTTAAAGAACAATAACCAGGAAACAAATAGATAAGGATTTGTGGAGATTTCTTCCATCAGGCTGGAGAGATGGCTAAGTGGCTAAGATCACTGCCTGTTCTTCCAAAGGTTCTGAGTTCAATTCCCACCAACCACATGGTGGCTCACAACCATCTGTAATGAGATCTGGTGCCTTCTTGAGGAAGAGACCTGGTCAGTCGTCCTCATCAACTTAGACCATGAAACCCAATATGGACAAGTTCATATACTGCCATATACGGGCTGCCCATGCATACTTCAACATTGCTGGGGCATAAATTTCATTCATTTCATTTTTTTCCCCTCCATCAGGCAGATGTGGTGGTGTGGCCCTGTAATTCTAGCAACCTGGAGACAGAGGATCACTCATGATGGAGGCCAAGCCCAGTTCAGAGGGAGACCATGTCTCAAGAAACAAACCGAGAGCCTGAAGACCTGAGCCTCCAGGCTCACTTTGATTACATCAGCCTCTGGGCATGCCTGTGAGGGACTGCTTAGGTTAGTTGAGGTGGGAAGATACACCTTAACTGTGGGCAACACTGACCTATAGGCCTTGGCAGGATATAAAGGAAAAATGGGGATAAATACAAACATCTACTTCTCTCTGCTTTCTCACTGTGGATACAATACAGGCTTCCAACTGTAAGCCAAATAAGCCCCTTCTCCATTAAGTTGATTCTTGTGCATTTGTCACAGGAATGGCAAAGGTAATTCATGTGGTAGGACATCTACAAATGGGTGTGAAAAGGCAAGCATGTTAAAACAGGGAAAGGCCTGAGAGGCAGCTTCCTAAAAAGAGGATTTCCAGACAGCAGTCTGTAGGTATACCATGTGCACAGCACCCATTAGCAGGGAAAACACATCAGAATCTCAGCGAGCAAGCTGGACATGGTGGCATGTGCTTGTGATCTCAACATTTAGGAGGACGAAAAAGGAGGGTCTCTGTAAGTTAGGGGTCAACTGGGCTACACAGTAAATTCAAAGTCTCCTTAGCCACCTTGATGCCCAAGTAGTTGACAATATTTAAAACAAAACAAAACAAAACGAAAAAAGAAGTCAAGACACGCTGTTTCAGAAGTAAGGACAGAGGCTGGGGAGACGCTCGGAGAGTGAAGTGCTTGCTGTTCAGGATCCCCAGAACCCCTGTGAAAAGCTTGGGTGATGGTTTGCTCCTGTCATCCCAGGAAACTGGCAGCTCCCGGGGCTTCTGAGCCAGTGATTCCAGTCAATGGGGAGCTCCAGGTCGGTAAGACCCTGTCTCAGAAAATAAAGCGGAGAGTGGTAAAGACAA